TGCTACATGTACATAATGATTTATATAATGATTTGCATATACATGTTGTAATGAGATCTGATTGAGTCAAAAATTATTCAACCAAATAATTAAAATAAAAAACTTCATCACTCTCTTTTTGACGCATCGTCTGTATATAAACTATCATGTAACTCCATTGTGTATAAATAAATTATTCTTTTACTACCTAACTTGAACTGTAGAAAAATGAAGTATGACACATTTTCATGACTATAACAAAGATGACGATGGTTTTTGTCATCAGAGACTTTGCAACTATAATGGAAAATTAAGAAAATGTCGAAGACTAAAAATAGCGAGTTCAACCCAGTGCAACAAGTCACAATTATTAATTATATCCAAATGAATTCACATGAAATACTATTCTAAGTTGAATTACTGCAGTTGATATATCGCATAAAAGTAAATAAAACCACGAAATTGATGACAGAGAAAATCCCTCACTGGATAAAAACTCTGGGACCAAGCTAGTAAAATTCACTATAGACAAAGATTTACAGTACGATCCATACTAGATAATCTCTTAGACTCGCTAACCTACTTCTTGTAATCTCCAAGGCCCCGATGGACTACGTATTCCTCACACCATCTTTCGACATTTTGGAATTATTTATCTCCTGTATATCACCAAGAACTCCTCTTTTTTGTTCTCTACCTGGACTCATGGTCGCCTTCCCGAATTCTTAGCACTCTCTGATAGATATTTAAGAAGTGAGTATTTTGATAATTTTAATTGATGTTTTCTCCAAGGTGTGGTTGATTGATCTCGATGGTAAGATTCGTTATAGGATCTCCAAAATATGTTCTTTAGGTAGAATAATATAAACAACCACAGTTTTTACAAAAATAGGGCTTGTGTTTTTATAGTAGGAAGATATTGTGGTATTATAGGATAAATACAACTAATTAAAATAGCGAATTAGGATTTTTCGGATATCACTGTCGTCGAGCGCTAGGGTAATACCAAGCGAGCAACAGACAGACGACATTTATTCTATTTTGGACGTTCCAGCAACAACTTGACACCATGCTAGCTTAATTCCAACGACTTTTCCTCATTATTCCACACTCGAACCCAAATATTCATATTTCATCTATACAACATTCTAATAGACTCCTTGACTTTTATAACTCCTTTATTAAAATTAATTTTGTCTACAGTCCTGCCAATATAATGAGACTTAACAAAAACCATGTTTAAAAGTTGAAAACCATGTCAGGTAGAGTTCCCAAATTCAAATTCCGTCATTATCCATATATGAAAGTATCAAACAATTTATAACAAATAAAATCATTCGACACGTTAGGAAGCACATTAAAGTTTAAATTTAAATAAATAAATGGGTTGCAAAAGTGATCGGAGTTAGATGTGGTAGAGCTTAAATGGAAAAACAGAAGGCCACTACGATTACAAATCACTTCATATTGTAAGGTGGAAATTACATTAGACTAAACTTTTCAAGATGATAGTTCAAAAATCAGATAATAAGTTTATTTAATCATATATCAGGTTGTAATTTAACTATTAGTATTAATAATAATATAAAATTTATGCAACGTCATCTCAATCCAATTTTATCTCAAACCCTAAATTCATTTCTTCCAATCTTCTCTCTTCTCACTCTCTCCACCTAACTCACAACTTCGGCACCGCCGCACCCAATGCCGGAGACCACCATCGAGCTCACAGCGATGAAATCTACCCTTACCCTTCATCGACTCCTACCCTACAAAGCCTAATTTATTTTCAAAACTATTAAATACCACATCCACCTTCGCAGTGCACCCATTCTGATGGTTTTTTACTGCGCGCCCACTCTATCAAATCTTCACGGTGCAACAGTGGTGCTCCTTCGTGTTAAGTGTTGTCGCTTCGTGCGCCACGAAGCAGTGTTCCTTTGTGTGCATCAACGCTGCGAACGGTGATGGCGTTCTCCGTGTTAGGCGATTTTGCTGCTACGTGCGCGACTCTCTTTAATGAGTAGTGATGTAGATCTGTTTTTTCTCCTTCATGCACAGCGACATAGATTTGTTCTTTTTTATCCGAGTTTGATTTCTCTTAAATGGATGATATGGAGTCGTGGTGAACGTTAGATGGAGGTTATGGAGGTGGAGACGATAGTGGATGCTATAGGTAGCTTGGCATTTGGAAGTGTAGATTGACTAGGAGCAATGGAGCTCCGGCGAGAAACAAGCGGCAATGTCGACAGTGGACGAATCCAAACCAGAGAGTCTTTTATGAAGATAAGAAGCGCAAATGCTGTTGACCGATTCATCGGGTTTGAGCTCGAGTTGGGTTACCAGCTCAGATTCGGGATTCGAGTCCGTTTGAGAGTTATTTGGAGATGTGGTTTTTGTTGGCGATGGGGGTTATGTTGATGGTGCTGTTGTGGTGTTATTGGTGGTTGTTGTAACAACGGTGGCGTGGCAAAGTGGGATGAAGAGTGTATGTGACCATCTATATGGTTGGTTTATGACCAAGCGTTGATAGTGATTGGAATTAAGGATGGGCCCGAAGTGTTTGGCATATGTGACCAACTATTTAGTTATTTGTAACCTAAAAATTCAATAATTTTTAACCAACTAATTTTAAAATCTATGACCAGTAAATAAATTATGACTTATAAAATTTGTGATTTATAACCATTAAATAAATTTTGAGACCTATAATATTTTTAATTCGTGATCGAAAAATAATTTGTGACCAACAAATAAATTGTAATATATAAATATGTATTTGTGACCATTAATTATATTACTGTGACCTTAATATATTTAATTAATAAATTTTTTTAATTATTTAGTTATCACATGAGAATTGAAAATTTAAACTTATTATCTGAGGTTTGAATTAGCCTATATAATATAGGGCAAATTAGGCCCAATATCCTAAAAAATTAACCAATTTGATTTATACTCTTTTAATTAATTAAATCCTTTTAAAACGTAATTAATACGTTATAAAAGATTATTTCTTCCCCATTCTAATATTTCTCTACTGCTTCATCTTTATCTCCAACCATAACCTTCAACATCACCAGGCTCCTTGGAAGATTCCCGAAATTCAGCAATTTTAACAATCTTTTGACCAAAAATGCTTCCTCCACTGGTATCAACAGATGGAAAACCATCACCATCCTTTCGGTGTGTAATGACGCACTCAGAGATCTTATGAAGAAGCAGAGAGAAGGTCCGAAGGGTGTTTTGAGCAACCATGTGGTGTTGGATTATTATGATACCTTGAAACTTCAGAAATTGAAAAACAAATCTGTTCTTGAGGGTCGAGTCGAGAAAAAAAAGGCAATCTTACCTTTCCCAAAATGCCAGATTCCCAAATTTCATTTATTTTTGGAAAAATGGAAAATCTAGTTCGATGATGAGCGAAGTGGATGATTTTCTGACAGTATTCAAGCTTGGGTTTTATTGGGTTGATCCCAAATACCGTGGCGATACTTGATTGTTTATGTAAAGATGGGTTGGTGCAAGAGGCAATGAAACTTTTTGGGTTAATGCGTGACAAGATTACTATTCCCGTATTCCGGAAGTGGTTGTCTACACTACTGTAGTGGAAGGCTTTTTAATGGCACAGAAGCTTGACGATGCTGTGAGAATTTTTAAACATCACTGCACTATGCTGCTCTTTGTGAAACTGTTGTCATAATTGAGTTATTTGTAAAGCAAAATGCTGTTGTCAAATTACAATGTGAACTCGTGTAACTTTTTTATGCTTTTGTCACTTTTTTAAGTTTATGTCACTTTTTTTAAAATTGGCATGAGAGGGTTCTAAATGTAAGAGGTTTTTAAATAAGTATCTCA